AGTGCTTTTCAATCTTTATATTAAATATAAATCTAATCATTGGAGATTATAGTGATGAGGTGTAAATATTTTAGCATAATCAACCTTAAGTGTTTTATGAAGAGGGAACAAAAATCTGAGAAAAAAATTCTTGCATTAAATAACAAGTAAACAAGCAAGGTGCAACACATTTCTCTAATTGTACAAAACAAAATACAATATAATAAATATGTGGATGACATTTATTTTGATCATAGATACTATTAAAAAAAACATTTAAACGAATTAAAATTTGAATTTAGGAAAATTTGAGCAAAGAATGATTCATGAATCAGACATCACCCTAAACAAGTAGAGGTCCAGAGAGCTCCACTCAGCAATGTGAACAGTTAGCATTTATAGAAAGAAAAAGAAAGTGATGCATAGAAACACCTTGATTGGTTACAGCTCAGCATTTGACTTATATGGATATGGTCTGACCAGTTGGCAGCCTGTGATTGGCTAAAGCTCAGCTGCTGTGATTGGCTGAGACTCAGCTATTTGTTACAAGACAGACTCTTAAGGTGGGTTGTAACTTGTTTCATACAGGCTCTCCAAAATCCATTTACATGTTATCTCAAATGTATGATCTGCTGGCCTAACTAAGACTTATTCCTAATCTGATTCTGAACTGGTTCCATGTAACATCTATTAATCCAACAATTCAAGGACTGTTGGGGTCTTGTGGTTCAGTGTGACCATCCAATTTTAAGGACGTGGGATAGGCTGAAACAAGGGGTAGGTGTATGACTAATTGAACTTAAAAAGTGAACAGAGAGCAGGGCTGATATGGATACATGGTGGCATTGGGAATGTCTTAAAAATCTGCTACAGATTATTATCAGTTGTAACTGTTTATCTCAGGTAGACCAGGGGAGGCCTTGGCAAATCTAACAGTCTGACAGATGTCCCCCTGCAGCAATACTCTGAAATAGTTTGACTATAGCATTGTCATGTCATCCTAGGCCATGTGACAAGAGAAGTAAGGGCAAAAGGCTGACTAATGTCACAATATTAAAAAGTGGCATTCTTGATAAGCCTAAGCGCTAGGAGTGTCTAAATAAAGGGAGGCAAGAAACTATTCCTATGTGACAAAAGATGTTTAGAGGATTCTAAATGTTTAAAGATGTTTAAAGGATTCTAACAATAATACTGATAAAAGTAATAATAAAATAAATGTATGGATTATGCATCTGATAGGGAACGAAATGTGGGGGCAGGTATCCCATCTTTCTGCGCAAAACAGTGAGGATGATAAAGATTCCTATGGTGCTCAAATAATGATTATAATCAGGAGGGTATATCATTTATCATTTTATTAAAAGGTAAAAGAAATTACTTATCCAGGATTTTTCTTGAAGAGATATTTAAGATATGCTAAGGGCTCACTTGTCCACTCCTGAGAGCCCAAAGTTTTTTCCTACTTGGCCAGGAATCAGGTGGGGTTGGCTTCACTTGGCTGTGATGAATCCAGGGCTTGACTCCCACAGGTTTTACAGAGGAGTTGGTCGTCAGCAAGACTTCATAGGGCCCCTTCCACTGGGACCTTAGTTGGTCATCAGGATGTTGGTTTCTCCAGGTCTTAAGCAGTACCCAATCGCCAGTCCGAGTGTGATGTAGTGGGATGTCCACCAGGAACCACATTAGTAGCAGTTAGAGTCAGACCTATAGATTGTATATATTTAATGATACAAAGTTCTTTAACAAGTAAGCTGTTGGGGTCTTATATTTTAGAGCCAGGACACAGGAAGGGTGTTCCACATAGAATTTCAAAAGGGCTTCACTTGGGCCCACTCCTAGGGTCCACTCTAACTCTAAGTAGGGCAATAGGCAGTGTCTTGTCCCAGGTCAGATTAGTTTCTAGGTAGATTTTAGATAAGGTTTTCTTTACGGTATGATTCAGCTTTTCAGTTTTTTTCTGGTGGACTGTAGTATCCAGGCTGTTTGGAGATTCCAAGTTATACCAAGGGCTTGGGAGACATCCTGTGTGATCTGGGTCACAAAAGCAGCACCATTGTCACTCTGAATAGAAACCAGTATGCTAAACTGAGGAAGAATTTCTTTTATTAAGGCCTTGATGGCTTGAGAAGCTCTTTCTGTCTGGCAGGGAAAGGCCTCGACCCAGCCCGAGAAGGTATCCACAAAAATAAGTAGACATTTGACATTTTCTGCTACCCTTGGCATCACAGTGAAATCAATTTGCCATCCTCTTTCGGCCCTTCACCCTTGGCCTGAACTCCTTGTGTGGAGGCAGGAGGGCTATTATTAGAGTTGTTCTGAGTATAGAGACTTTTTAAAATAACTTTCTGAGTGGTTCTTTTCATATGTGGACCAACGATATATTTTTGTATCCGTTGTTGGGTGGCATCCCTTCCATTAGTGCGTGGAATCCTGAATATGTTTAATAATATCATTTATAAGATAATTGGGTACCAAGATCACTCCTATCTCATTGTATTTCCACCCATCCTGAGTCCTGTGGTGAGGATCAAACACTCAATTGAGTGTTCTTTTTAGGTCCTCGCTGAGTATATGGGAGATTTAGGGCCAATATCTATTTTAGGCATTAAGTGAATTAACGAAGTCTTGGGGATATTTTTTCTTGCTGTTTTCTTTGTGACCCAATCTGCCTGATGATTGCCTTTTGCCACCACACTGTCTGCTGATGTCCGAGGCAATGTACTATAGCTCCTTCCACGGGGGCTAAAATGGCATCTAGCAAGACTATGATTTTTTTTAGCAGATTTTATTTCTTTATTACCAGAGGTTAGGAGTTCCCTTTCACTCCAGATGGTCCCATGAGCATCAACAACAGAAAGAGTGTAACTGGAGTCCACGTAAATGGTCACTCGTGCTCCTTTACCTAGCTGGAGTGCCCCAATAAGGGCTACTGGTTTTGCCTTCTGTGTTGAAATGCCAGGGGAAAGCACCTCAGCCTCCAATGTTTGTCGATGAGTCACCACTGCGAATCTGCCTCTCCACTGTCCTTGATCCATAAAACTGCTTCCATCAGTAAACATCTCTCAGTCTGGGCTGTCTAAGGGTATGTCTGTCAGATCTGGCTGGCTAGAATAGACTTGTTCAATTATTTGTAAACAGTCACACACAGGTTCACATGACATTTGAGAAAGTAAGGTGGCAGGGTTTAAAGCAGAGACTGTTCTCAATGTTACATTTGGATTGTGTAGAAGGGTGGCCTGTTATCTGCCAAGTCTCCCAGAGGTCAGCCAGTATCCAACTTTTTGTTCCAGCAAGGGAAGCACACAATGAGGTGTGTGTGTGGGTGGTGTGGGCTGGCCTAATGTAAACTTTTCTGCTTCCTGAAGCAGGTCACAAGTGGTGGCAAAAGCTCTAAGACAAAAAGGCCATCCTTTTGTAACAAAGTCTGATTGTTTTGAAAACTAAGCTACAGATCTCTTAACATTTCCCAAACTCTGAATTAACACTTTCAGACTTATTCTTTGTCTCTCAGGTACAAAAAGATTGAAAGGATTTCTTATATCTGGGAGCCCCAGTGCTGGAGCAATTAACAACTTTTCCTTGATATTTAAAAAGGCCTTTTGACAGTCCCCAGACCATTCTAAAGTTTCCTTATCTTCTGCCTTTAAGGCATCATATAGGGCTTAGCAATAGCCCAATGTTAGGAACCCATATAAGGCAGAATCCAGCCATGCCTAAGAAACCCCGCATCTGTTGCCAAGTAGCCTCCCTCTGATCAGGGAGCAGCTTCCTCTGTCCTTGGGAAAGCGCGTACTCTAATTATTTAACTGAAGGCTGTAAAACTTGAGCTCTTTTTTTTTCTTTTGGATACCTTGTACCCACATTCGGCCAGAAAGTTTAGACTTAACATAGTGTTCTGATCAGGTGTCTCTTTTGTAATGCTAGCAGCTAATATGTCATTGACATATTGCAGTAAAGTCCAATAGGAGGTCTCAGAGGTCTTTAGCAAGGATTTCCCTGAAGATAATAGGGGAGTTTTTGAAACCTTGGGGAAGAACTGTCCAACAGTATTGTTGCTTTGCTTTTGTATCTGGGTTCCTGGGTTCTCCCATTCAAAAGCAAACAGTTCTTGTGATTCTGGGCTCAGAAGGATGCAGAAGAAAACATCTTTTAAAACTAAGACTGTGAACCAGCAAAGTTCACTAGAGTTGTGAGTAGCATTTAAGGATTCAGGACCACCAAGTGAATATCTTCTTCAATTTGGTTAATGGCTCTCAGGTCCTGAACAAATCTATATTTTTTAGTCCCAGGCTTCAGGACTGGCAGGATGGGTGTATTATATGAGGACTGGCGAGGTCTAAAAAGCAGACAGCAGAGGCTGGATTCCCTGTCGTGCCTCTCCCCTCAAGGGGTATTGCTTTAAATGTAGTGGCGCCATTCCTGCCTGTACCTTGACTTGCACTGGGATGGTGGTTTTAACTCTTCCTGGTCTGCCACCTGCCCATGCCTCTGGACTCACCTCTTAAAGTATCTCTTTAGAAATGGGAGCAGGTTCAGAGGCTTCTGGTTGCAGCAGGGCAGGCTGCGGGGCACAGGGCTGTTCTGGAGGCACCCTGATAGTCAGTCAGCTTCTTTAGTTTGAGCTCAGACTTGGTTTGGGTTCAAAATTATGTCCAAGTAGATCTTCTGCAGCTGCTGTAGCTATAAAGAGATGGCAACTGGTTGCTTTTTGTAAGGAGTTTCCCCACTGGGGGTACTCCAACTCTAAGTTACCTTTGATAAGCTTCACCTATTTCTCTAGAAAAGCACAGAATCTGGGTCCACAGTTCTTATACGTGAAATTGGTTGGAGTTCCAGATAGAGGAGCTCTCAACTCCTTGAATCCAGATGAACCCATGATATTTCTTCATATATTTGTTTTGGTAGGGCACAGCCTCCAGTAGATTCTGAATAGGTATATGATAGGTAAAATTGTTTGAGACTTTGCATATGTGAATATATTTTTTTCTACCACTATTTTTGACTGAACCTTTATGTGATATGGGAATCTAGGCTTGTGATTTTTAGAATTTTCAAGTAATTTCTTCATTAATTTTTAGCTTCACTTTTACTCGTGAGAAGTCTGAAATCAGTCTGATTCCTGATCCTTTGTAAACATGTATAACTTGTTTCTCATATTCTTTTTTCTGTTTGTTATTTTGTTTCGTGTCTCTTATCCGTGTTAGAGGCTTTCCTCAGGTATGGGGTAATACCTGGATGTCTGTTCATATCATATAAAGAAGATCACTCAGAAGCTCTGAAGTGCTTGAGTGGAATTTTTCTAAGAACACACCTCTAGAGTAATCTTGCTGGGTTGTTTAGGTAATCTTTTAACTATTGACACTATGGTGCCAATAACTTGTAAGTCTTTTCTCTTGAGCTTACCTAGTTTTCCAGAAGAGACACTTTATCTGCTTCAAAAGTGAAGGGCTGGCTGCTAGTATTATTAATGTCAAGAGAGAGAAGGAAGAAAAGAAAGGAGGGTGCCTCAGTATACCATATTCACTTATATCCCTTGTTTTAAATGTGGGGTCCCTACCATCAACCATGATTAGTTTACACAGTTTAGGTACCCTCTGCTCTACCCTTTCCAGTGTGAGGAGTGGCAGTTACACACTATTTGAAGTCTGGCGGGGAATTTTTGTGTATGACTGCTCCTTTCACAGACTTTTAATCATCCTAATTTTAGCAATATCCCTTTACCGAGAGGGTAACACTCAGTTTTAAATTGAGGAGAATTCTACAAATTATATTAGCATTATTTCTCTGTTTTCCTTTCTGGTTGCTTAGGATTTAGTTTTCTTGATTCTATTACATCTTTTCAACTAGTTATTTTCAATTTTCAGCTTCCAAAATTTTGTTGCTCTCTTCCTGTTCTTTTAGATATGATTATTATTCTAAACCAGAAGCACGTTTTGAAAGAAAATGGCCTGTGGCTGTGGGATATATAGGTGCATCGCTCTTTCCTACCACCTTGACCGCAACATACAACTTCCAGAAGGGCCTGCCACCACGAGTCCTTGTTAATACCGACGTAGTCCCTTTCATTAGTGACTTCACTGCTTTTCAAAATATAGTCCTGTTTATTCTAAATATGCTTGACAATGCAGATTAACTTACAGGTAAGAATCTTAATACTTTAAAAAATCAATATTGGTTTGAACAGAGAGAGTAAGAAATAACAATAAATCAGAGATATAGACATCACAACACTCCAAAAAGAAAGTTATGATTTCTTGTGGACATCCATTCCATTCCTTTAGCAATGATCACTCTTGATATATGGCAGAACCATTTAATGAGCATACATTTTGTTCCTTCCACTAGTGGCCTGTCCTTTCATCTGGAGTCCATATTGAACCTTGAAGTTGGCAAAGTAACTGAAGCACAGTTTTTGTTCTACACACCCACACATAATGCTTATTTTGCTTATCAAGTCTTTTTAAAAGAAATTTCCACTCTGCTTTGAAATTTAAAGAAAATAAATTCCAAAAGAAAACCTGCCACGATTAATGAAATTTCTAGCAATTTGACTTATCTGAGTTCCCTCAATCCAATACTATTAGTCATAAAAGAAGCCTTTTGCTCCAGCCCTTCAAATGCCAGAACTTCTAGCAGAGTGAAAAATAAGATTCTATAATTACAAGTTTGAAAATTACCGTGTCATCCCCATTTTCCATATATGCATTGAAGCATTGAGCCAAACTTAAAACATAATTATACTTATTAGTGTTTTACAAAGCACTGGATCTGAAAGATATAAATGAAGCAAATTAAACATAAATAAATTAAATATATGTTTTTTAAAAATTAGAGGAACCAAAACATCCAAACATTTGAGGGTCTTCATGCAATTGAAGTTGTTCATACTCTAGGAATGGCTCTAGTACAGCATTGTCAGTCAGTAGGCAGCTTCCCTTCACACAATGAGTAGACCAAATCTCTTTCACTCTGAAAATTTTCTTGGAGATTTTTCCCACAAAATGAGTTGCCCCAATTGATTCTGTTTAATAGATGTATAGTGTTTCATTTCATTAATTTATCATAATTAAGAACACTAGTAATGTTATTGACAATCATTTAAAAATGGCATTCCCTGTATACTTTTCTTGCATAATTTATGATTTTATCACTAAATTCATAGAAAGGACATGAAATAAAATTGGTGGGTCAGATATTGTCAGATGGTATTGATAGTAATGCAACTAATGTCATGCCATGTTTACTTTTCTTAGTATAATTTATGATTTTGCCACTAAATTAGTATAAAGGAAGTAGAACAGATGAGTCATATATTGCCAAATGTTACTCAAAAAATTTGCAGGAGTTTACTGTAATAATTTTATATCTTTTACAGGTTAACTTTGTACAGAAAAATTTCATGAAGACAGAAGTTACAGGGAAGCTAATTCTAGAGGTTTTTGCACAATTGCAAAGGTTTTTGAAATAGTTCTTGAAATGCTTAATTCAAAACTTCTGGAAATGATTAATGAATTAAAAATGAACAACTCTACCTTGACAACCAGTAATTTAAAAAAATTAATATGATCATAATCATGTAGTTTTATTATTTCTGATGTTTTTAACTTATGTTTGTTAAGATTTTGTTTATGCATTACTAATTTAAAATTCTAATTAATATGGTGATTATTTTGCTCAGTTAATAATTCTTGGTTTTTGAATTCATTAATGTTTAAAATGTTTAGGATCAAAGGAGACTGTATTAAGCTACCAAAAAATCATGGATAGATTAGGAAATAAATATTACACTGGTATGGCTTTTTCATTGTTATCCTATCTAATCTAGTTTCATTACATTTACAATAATATACCTTACTGATTTATAATCGAATCTAGGTTATTTTTAAATAAAAGTTTAAATTTTTAAAATTTGTAAAACTGAACTGGCAAATAGAACACATTAACTGATTTGTCATTTTTTATGTGTTTTTACTGAACCCAAGTTTACATGATAACCCAAGTTTACATGATAGAGTTCCCCTCCTTTGACCCACACTTGGTAATGAGTGCCTCAGGGTCAAGTTTGTCAGAGTTGCTCTCTTTATTATAGGAGAGAGATTGCACTGGCCAGGAGGTGGTGATTTACAGAGCTGATGTGAAACTTCCATATGAATATTTTCCCAGGGCCTCATCCACAGACTAAATCTATCCTCTAACTGTTGGGAAATGAAATTGGATAAATTGGTTTGAATTCCATGGGTATTGGAGTAGGAGAGATGTATTTTAAGTCTCAGCCCTGTTGTTTGCTAGTTGAATGAGCTTGGGCAATTTTTCTAGTGTCCTCTGTGCTTCACTTTATTTATTGTTAAAATGAAGATTATCAAACCTACTTTGCAATATTATTTTGAGGAGTCAATAAAAATTTAGATATAAAGTATCTAGTGTAATACTTTCCCCAACATATAGTAGGCATCTACAAAAGGCAGGAATTGTCACAATAATTGCGCTTGAATATGGATGGATGTTCTATTGCTGGGACAGGAAAAGCATCTGTGATGAGCCAGGACAATAAATAAATTTTCACTGAATCCACGGACATACAGAATGTTTCCTGGTAGCTGTAGATAACAGAGGCAGTGTAATAAATAAATACCCTCCCAAATCTCCTTCCCAAACCATGTGAAATAACTATGCATCTATGAAATGTCTATACACAACTAAACTCTCATTATTACTGGAAGATAGACAATGCAGAAACAACAAAATAACTTGGATTAAAAAGAAAAATAAACAAATATCAGTGCCCGAGTCCCATTGGCTTCTAGTTCATCCCAGAAAGCAAAGGTAGACTGAGAAAAACTTCAGGTGAACAAAGGAGCCTGAGTGTGGAATGGAGTGACCACTGGAAAGATTAAATCCAAACCTATTCTGAAGATACTAAAAAGCAATGGGCAGATAGAGCACTTCAGACACAACTGCAGGGGGCAGATTTCAAGGTAGGAGCATCTTAAAGGGCCAGGTCTGTGACTTAATTATTTTTTATTTCTTTCCATCTCAAAGCTTCCTTTATTTGACTAACAGTAGAAACTATTTTTTCCCATTTAGTTTTTTTTTTTTTTTTGAGACAGAGTCTCACTCTGTTGCCTGGGCTAGAGTGCCATGGCATCATCCTAGCTCACAGCAACCTCAAACTCCTGGGCTCAAGCAATCCTCCTGCCTCAGCCTCCTGAATAGCTGGGACTACAGGCATGCGCCACCATGCCCGGCTAATTTTTTCTATATATTTTTAGTTGTCTGATTAATTTTTTTCTATTTTTTAGTAGAGACAGGGTCTCGCTCTTGCTCAGGCTGATCTCGAACTCCTGAGCTCAAACAATCCACCCGCCTCGGCCTCCCAGAGTGCTAGGATTACAGACGTGAGCCACCGCGCCCGGCCCCCATTTAGTCTTTATTAGTATGTATTCATGAGATACAAAGTGCAATTTTGTTACATCAGTATATTGCATTGTGGTGAAGTCAGGGCCTTAAGTGTATACATCATTGAAGCAACACATTGCATCAGCCAAGCGACCTCCCATCATCCACCTCCCATCCTTCTGTGTCTCCAATGTCTATCCTTCCACACTCTGCTTCCATATGTACATATTATTTAACTTCCTTTTATACATGAGAACATGTGGTGTCTTTCAGTAGCTGAGTTGTTTCACTTAAGATAATGGTCTTCAGTTCCATCCATGTTTCCACAAAGATGATTTCATTCTTTTTTTTACAGCTGAATAGTATTCCATTGTGTGTACATACCACAATTTCTTTATCCAATCTTCCGTTGATGGACACCTAGGTTGATGTCACATTTTTGCTATTGCGAATAGTGCTGTGATAAACATATAAGTGCAGGTGTCCTTTTTATATGTTGATTTTTTTTTCCTTTGGGTTAGATATCCAGGAATGGGATTGCTGGATTATATGATGGTTCTATTTTTAGTTCTTTGTGAAATCTCCATACAGTTTTCCATAGAATTTGCACTAATTTATGCTCCCACGAACAGTGTAGAAGTGTTCCCTTTTCTCCACATCCCCATCAACATTTGTTCGTTTTTGTCTTTTTAACAATAGCCACTCTGGTGTAAGAAGATATCTCATAGTGGTTTTATAATAATTTGCATTTCTCTGATGATTAGTGATATTGAACATTTTTTCACATACTTGTTGGCCATTTATTTGTCTTTTGAAAAAATGTCTATTCATGTCCTTAGTCCACTTTAGAATGAGGTTAACTGTGTGGTTTTGTTGTTGTTGAGTTGAGT